GGATTACAATACAAATGGAGCTTCTCGAGATATTTCAAACACGCAAAATCACTCCCACCTTCCAAACAACCGAAACACTTGACCCCACCAGGAGGATATTCATCGGTCGGAAGCATTTTCACTAGAATTATTTTATTATTACGTTTATTTTCATATTATTCAGTCTTTCTTTTTTTGTAATCATTTAATCTAGAACAAGACAATAAAGCCACTAGGACGTAAGGGATTACTGAGTGTTAGAGAATATGAAAAAAATTACTATTAAGGAGAGAGGACAATAAAAGAAGAGGAATTAAGAAGACAACGATTGACATTACATTTAAATTTTTGAAGATCAAAGGCAATAAAGCCACTAGGACGGAAGGGGTTACTGAGTGTTAGAGAATATGAGAAAAACTACTATTAAGGAGAGAGGACAATAAAAGAACAAGAACCTGTATCCTATACGTAACTGTCATATAGCCTGACGTGCTTTACCGATTTAGCCACACAGGAGCGTTTCGGTTAGCAAGGTCGATTTTACTGGTTTCTTTTTTTTATTTTAAGAAAGTTCCTTTCATATTCTGATAAGCTTAATAACATTATCACTGAAAGGCGAAAGGAAATCACCATATTGATACATGTTTTTCACTCTCGCGTGATCATGTGTGACGTCACGAGCTGCGACGCGATTTTCGCTTCCGCGTCCGAGTTTGTCGTTACTTTGAAATTTTTCAAGCAGCAAGGGCGGACTATCATTGTGGTTTCGTCTGTGTGTTGTTTGATTTATTGAAATTGTCATCTTTGATAATGGCTTATATAAGCCAAAAGCTTAGATTGGATTTAAACATGTATCAATACGATGATTTCCTTTCGTCTTTCAATGATAATGCTATTAATCTTATCAGACAATATCAAAGGAACTTAAAATAGACAAAACTTGTCTATATTTAATGAAACATGCATTAATATATATATATATATATATATATATATATATATATATATATATATACACACACACGTTTCATTACATAATATGGACAAGTGTTGTCTATTTATTTTATGTAAATTCTTTTCATAACGTCCGATAAGCTTAACTTTATCATTAAACGAAGAAAGAAAATCACAATATTGATCCATATTTTTTCATCCAATCTAAGCTTTCGGCTTACATAAGCCATTATCAAAGATGTCAATTACTGTACAACATATTAAGCAATTTACGGACAAGACTGTGATGATAGTCGGTGATTGTTTACATGGATGATTTCCTAGCAACGATAAACACGTGCATACAAGACGCTAGAAGCGAAAATCGCACAGCAGCTCATGACGTCACACATAACCACGCGAGAGTGAAAACGAGAAGTATGGGATGTCGTTGGTATAAACCAATGGTTCTGTTACCAATTACAGACATTTAAGGATATTTGTAGAAATTCCATAATTGATTTTGTTTGGGTTGGGTTTCAACTGTTTGATGTATATTGCTTCAAGGATTTTTAGTTTTGGTCTATTGTTTTCATGTTGAAGTATAATTGTGTTTTCGATGAGGATTTTACGGAAATGTGTGTGCGGCCAGGCATGTTGTGTGTGTGTGTCTATATATATAATATATATTAGTGTGTGTGTATGTGTGTATGTGTGGGTGTGTATATCTAATTATGTCTGGGTGCTTATGTATTATAATCTGATTGTGTTTTTGTTGTTTTACGCGTGAGTTTAAGACCACATTCACAAACTTTAAAATAAAAACGGAAAAGAAAGGGAAAAAAAAAATATATATATATATACATGCATTGTCAAATGACCGGATGTATTGTAGCGTCTTGTCGAACGTAATTTCAATGAAGAAATGAATTGAATAAATATATATTATTTCTTTTCTCAATAATTTTGTAGTTTTTAAACTTAATAGTGAGTAAATTTGGATTTTAAAATTGCCAGTTTTTAATTTTAATATTAAATTTTATCATATAATTTTTAATAATTATTAGTATAAATTATTTTAATATTACACGTATTTAAAGATCTGAAAAGCTATTATAGCATGATTTCGTTGTCAAGCTTTTGAATCTTTCTATACTTCGTTTTTGATTGGTTATTCTAGCTTTTGTAACAATGTTTCCCCCTAGTGTAGGATCGTTAATTAATCTGAAACTTTTAAAACCATTTATTTTCTTTTTCAACATCATCACTTGATAAGACACAGTGTGTTGAAACAAAATGGCTATTTTTTGTAGTGATTTTATAACATACTTATTTTATAATTTTTATATATAAAAATAATATATATATATATATATATATATAATGGACTATCCGAGTATTACTGTATCTGTGCACCAGGTTTTGTATCAATAAATTTAATTGTTTGCAAGCTAGGGTTTTTTTTTTTTTGTTTTGTTTTTCTGAGTCTCTATATACGCGCCCACACGCACACTTGTCGATTTATTTATTTACTTAATGGAATTTTAAGCTATAAAAACTTATAACTATTTAAAGTGTCTTTGCAGCTAGACACTTAAAAAAAATCATGAATTATTATAACGGAAAATTTCACATATGTGTATCTTAAACGAGTCTATTTTCGTGAGACTCGCTATTATAAAACAATAAAAGTCTATGTATTTAAATAGCAAGAGGCAAATAATATAATAGCATATAAAATTTGGTCTATTTCTCTAAGATGAGGTATTATAATTAGATGCATTATTTACATTATTCGGACTGTTATCCTCATCTTCATTGCCATATTCACAACGTTTCGGCCGTTGTACGCTCCAACCTTCTTCAGGTGATTGGATCTCTGAGATGAGGTATGATTACTTGCATTATTTACATTATTCGGACTGTTATCCTCATCTTCATTGCCATATTCACAACGTTTCGGCCATTTCAGGTTATTGGAAATGATAAGCAATAATTTTTCCAGATACACGTCCTACTATTTAACCCATAGCTGGAGGGAGGAAATGAATTCATACATTGCCAAAGAATTTTTTTTTTTTGAAGATTGCATTCCCAATTTCTTAATAACAATGATTTTTCCAGATACAAGTCATACTTATTAACCCACAGCTGGAGGGGGAAATGGATGCATAACTTTCCTAGTGGTATTATACCCATAAAACAAACACATTCAGTAACCATCTACCTTGAGTGGCTCTTGGGTCTTACATTTGGTGAAAATAGTGTAAAAAGAAAAAGAACTTTTTTTTTTATTAATCTGTATGTAAACATTGATTATTACTCCTGGAGATTAAAATCACTGCCATTGCAGCCATCGGACCAATTTTTTTTTTTTTTTTTTCAGAACCAACTCACGTCTTTTTAACTAACTGTTCAAATTCAATGAATGCCGAACGAATGACAGGTTCTGCTAATTAATTTGTAATAAAGTAGTCACAAATTGATTAATTGACTAATTAGTGACTTTCTGATGACAAATGCTATCTTAAAAAAATAAAATAAACTCCATTATATTTTTATCACTTTTCATCAAAGAAAATTCATGGAAAGAGATGATCACTTTCCTTTGGGAAATGGTTAATTTTTTTTCATTCTAGCTCGAATTTGACAGGCGATATGGCGGAGCAAGGGAAAGAGTTGAGTTTGAATTCCAGTCAATCTGCCAATGATGCAATGAAATTTTTTATTTAAATTATTTTCACCCCAATCAAAGCAAATTTCCTCCACTAAGACACAAGGGGTTACACAGTGTGAGAGAATCTAAGAAATGAAAAACATTAAGGAGAGAGGACAATAAAAGAAGAAGAATTAAGAAGACAGAAGATAACGATTGACATTGCATTTAAATTTTTGAATATCAAAGGCAATAAAGCCACTAGGACGCAAGGGGTTACTGAGTGTTAGAGAATATGAAAAAACTACTATTAAGGAGAGAGGACAATAAAAGAAGAAGAATTAAGAAGACAGAAGATAACGATTGACATTGCATTTAAATTTTTGAAGCACAAATTTGACTGGGAAGCAAAAAGCAGGAAGTGAGTTCCATAAGCAAGAAGTGCAAGAGAAGAAACTGTTAGCATAGAACTTACGGTTGCATCGAGACATTTCAACTGTAAAATGATGAGACCTAGCTACCAATCTAGTACTGTGCATAAATTCATGAAGTCTGGCTACCATAGAGTAAGGTAATATTTCTTTTGAGAATACAAAAATGTGGCACAAGGCCAAAAAGTGGAATAAGAGGGTCTTCAATCCATCTTATCTTAAACCTAGCTTGCCACAATTACAAGCCCAAATCTACCACGGTATTCCTTACCAAAACAACACATTCTTACTTACCATTCTTACGACAGCCACCATAATACCTCAGAGTCTCTATGAAGTCCTAACTAGTTCCCAAATGTACAATTTGTCTGGGAGGGGAATGACATTAATCCTGTCATCACAAAATGTAAACATTTGTGAAACCCAGTCTTTCACCTCCACCCTCTGTAACCCTTTTCATACTAGGGGCATTCTTCCTTTGCTTGGGGCAAAATGATTAAAAAAAAAAAAAAACCTTTCCCGAGGGTATTTGCATGTAAGTGAATATGATGAACCTCATTGGAATTGGAACTCGTCTCTCTGATTTCCAATTTTAAACAGTTATCCATTACACCACCCACACATCCAAGCTTACAGCATCTGGTATTCCCAAACAGTCACCCATCTATGTACTAACCAGGCTCTAAACCTTCTGGAAAAAGCTTCAATTAAAAGATTAAAAAAATCTAAATGGGCTACATGAAATCAACTCAAAATATCCAGGATATGGGAGATAGTGGCCCTCCACAATTTCCTCTCCTTTATAGCTCTTAGTAAATTTTGTTTTGTTGTTTTCTATTATTGGAGATAATTTACTGATACAAGTTCTAATTAACCCCTAGCTGGAGGAAGAAGTGGTGAACTCATACCTTTTGCTGAGGTATTAGCGTATAAGTAAATATAACGAACTCTACTGGAATTGGAACCCGACTCACTGATATTACATAACCCCCACATCCAAGCTGACAGCACTTGTTATTCACAAGCAGTCACCCATCTTGGTACTAACCAAGCTTGATGCTGCTTAACTTTAGTGATCGTATGGGAACTGTTTCAATGAGGTTGGAAATTGAAGTGCTATTGCAGATGTGGTCTCTTGTCAATAAATCCAATCCTAAATCCATCTCACCCCTGTTGGAGGAACCCCTTCTTGGAGGATCCTGTCATCAGGGGTGTGGCTCTACTGACGGCGCTTGGCCAATTGTGAAGACTCATTGTTTATCCACCGTTTAACTGCTCTTGTTTTTCTTTTGTGCTGCTGGAGTTCCACTGTGGGAACTGGAACTTGGCCCTTGGATTAACAATTCCAAGCCATTATCCATTACACCAACGGCACTTTTCTGTCTTGATAAAATGTATTGATGTACATTTTCCATTTTCTTTTGTCTTTTCAGATGTAAACATTACTTTTGTGAAAAGTGTGCTTTAGAACGATACAAGAAGTCCCGACGTTGTTTTGTATGCAATGAACAGACAAATGGAGTTTTCAACCCTGCCAAAGGTTAGTCATTGTGAAAGATATTTTTTTTCATGCTTTTTATTTTTTTCTTTTAAAAGCGGTTTTCATCAATTTTCAGCCAAGAATTGATGTCGACTTCTCCTCCCCGCCTTCTTTTATCATTAATATTTATTTTTACTCATAACCTATTTATAATGTTTGTGCCTGTTGAGGATTGGGATTTATTTTATTCGTTAATTAAATCTTGACCTTTTCAAGTTTAGAATTAACTATCTTTCCTGTTATCTTGCCCTTTCTTATACAACTCCACACAGTAACCTTCTACTTGAGTGGCTCTTGGGCCTTGTATTGGGTAAAAGATAGTAAAAAAAAAAAATTAAAGAAAACAAAACTCCAATGAATATTTACAATAAATACTATAGAGGAAAGTTCTACAGTCACCATAATACCTCAAGTCTCTATGAATTCCTAACTAGTTCCCATATGTACAATTTGTCTGGGAGGGGAATAAAAATGACAACATTAATCCTGTCGTCACAAAATGTAAATATTAATTTTGTGCTTTAGAACGTTACAAGAAGTCCCAACGTTGTTTTGTATGCAATGAACAGACAAATGGAGTTTTCAACCTGCCAAAGGTTAGTCATTGTGAAAGATACTTATTTTATGCTTTTTATTTATTTTAAGTAGTTTTTTTATAAATTTTCAGCCAAAAATTGATGTCGTCTTCTCCTCCCTGCCTTATTTTATCATTAATACATATTTTTACTGATAACCTATCTATAATGTTGAGGATTGGGACTTATTTTATTTGCTAATTAAATCTTGACCTTTTCAAGTTTAGAATTAACTATCTTTCCTGTTATCTTGCCCTTTCTTATACAACTCCACATAGTAACCTTCTACTTGAGTGGCTCTTGGGCCTTGTATTGGGTAAACATTAATAAAAAAAAAAATTAAAAAATGAAATCCCAATAAATATTTACAACACTATAGAGGAAAGTTCTACAGTCACCATAATACCTCAGAGTCTCTATGAAGTCCTAACTAGTTCCCAGGCGTACAATTTGTCTGAGAGGGGGATAAAAATAACAACATTAATCCTGTCATCACAAAATGTAAACATTTGCAAAAAATGTCCTTTAGAATGATGCAAGATGTCCTGATGTTGTTTTGTATGCAATAAACAGACAAATGGAGTCCTCAAACCTGCCAAAGGTTAGCCATTGTGAAAGATATTTTTTCATACTTTTTATTTTCTTTTTTAAGCAGTTTTTCATTAATTTTCAGCCAGGATTTGATGTCTTCTTCTCCTCCTAATAATGCAAGTAAATATAATACTTCATCTCAGAGATATACATAGATACAAAAATGTCGTTGTTGATTAAAGTTAAAAAATAACCATAAATACGTAAAAAATGCGTATATTATCAAAAATTCCTTTTTCTACAATGTAGCTATTTGTGCTGTTTTAATGCATATTGCCTAAACAATCATAATAATGAATAAATTTTTTTAAAACATTAAAGTATATTTAATCACACCTAATTGTTGCCACGATCTGTAAATTTCATAAATTTTATTAAAAATTAACATGGGAGGAAGCAGTTTGTTGTTATAAATTCATTGTATAAATTGACTTTTTCAAATTGATTTCTCATCATTAGAAGCACAAATCTCTAAAAAAAAAAAAAAAAAATTCTTAACAGATCGCAACATTCTATCAGAGATGAAATTTAAATTTTTATTATTGCATTATTCCAAAATTTTAACACATCAGCAGATAGCTATTAATGTCAACAACTGAACACAAATAGTTATTAATTTAAAAAAGTTAGTAATTAATGTATAATATTATACATAACTACATGTACAAGAATTTCGTTTTTGATCAAAGTTAAAAAGTAGCCATAAATACGTAAAAAATGTGTATATTGTTGAAAATTCCTTTTTCCACAATATAGCTGTTTGTGCTATGTTATAATGCTTATTACCTAAACAATAATAATAATGAATAAATTTTTTTTTAAATATTAATTATATTAAATCACATCTCCCTAATAGCTGTTGCAATCTGTTAATATGAATGTGTTCTTGTGAGTAGGCTAATTCTGTAATATAAACACAGGAAGAGACATCAAAATAAGGCCACTGCCAAGGAAAGAAAAGTATCTCACTTCATATCATAAACTGGGAAACATACAGTCAACTGTACATTGAAACCAATTGCAATCTTTTCTCAACAGCTGCTTCTTCAAACAAATCTTTGAACATAAATACTTATCAGTCAATGGTATTATAAGGATTGTACCCATGCATGCATACTTTTCACATTGCAAATGGCCGCCTACATGCAAAGCACACAAAACATCATGCTTATTTAGCTTATTTGTCATGGGATGTAAAATGCTGGCATATACAATTGATAGCGGATGATCAGTTTTTTAATCACATTTCCCTAATAGCTGTCGTGATCTGTAAAGGTAAACAAAGTAGTTGTTGGAAATGAAAATTTGAAACAGAAAGGACACATTGTACAGTGGATAAAGGCGTTGGTTAGATCCAGTGACAGGACCCAAAAAGTGTGAGTTCAATACCCGGTTAAGGCAATGGAGAACTTGGAGAGGAGAATTAACAGGAGATAACTGATAACTGACATCCATTAAACATGGCACGTGGAACAAGAACAGTCTACCCCAGTGAGCGAAATAAAGGGTTCAGTTCAACATTCCAACCACCTGAAGAAGGCCGGAGCATACAACGGCCGAAGCGTTGTAATAAATATGGCGACAAAGATGAAGACAATAGTTTGAATAATGTAAATAGTGTAGAAAAAATAAATACATTTGATTTTTTTTTTTTTTTTTTTTTATACTTGAAGTTTATTTCAAACTTTTTTTTTTTCACTTTTGGTGATTCATAACATTTCAAATATGTCTAGAAAATAATGTTGCATGTTTGGAGACGGAGTAAAATTCCGTCCAGATGTATGGAAGACCAAATTTGTTATGAACATGATCATTATTAACAATGACAAAAGCCCAAAGATGAAACTAATTGATTTGTTCTTGAAACAATCAAGAAATGCAATGATATATCACTAAATATATCATTACAAATAATAATTTTGCTATGTCCCCTAAAGTCTTTCAATGGCAGCAACAACTAAAACAAATAACACAAAGTAATAACATAATCAAGATGTTGATGTTCCACTCTACACTAAACAAAAGATTAGGAAGGAAAGCCTCATCAATACAGGATAGAGCTAGGCTACAAAAATCTCCTGAGCCAACCAAGCATAGAAATGAATACAATATGGGAACCAGTAATAAGGAGTGCCAGAGAAAAGTGATAATAACAACAAAAGTTGCAATATGAGCTCTGGTAAAAACATGCAATGGTAACAGCAAAAAATTGCAATATGAGCACTGGTAAAAATGGTTGCTGAAGACATTAGGTTTATAATACCCAGAAATTCATACACAGATGTCCTCAAAGTGTAATTTCACTTTTGATAGATAGCCAATGATGATGGTTATGTAAAGAAAAAAAAAAAGGTGTTTTGTAGTTGAAAACTTGCTCTAATCCAATAGTGCTATTGTGCTCTCTGTTAAGTGTTCTAGTTGCCATAGTAGTAGGATATATTACTTTCAGAGTGTCCTTTTTATATAATGAATTGGTCTGAAAGTAATGCGGCATTTTTATGGAATCATGAAGTCTTTGATTAAATCAAGACACTGAAAATTGTTGCTATAAAAATTGAAGGGCAAATAAATATTTAAGAAAAATAAACATTATTTTAAACCAACTAAATCTGGGTAAATCTTCAGATGTTTATTTAAAACCAATCATTGAAACACTTTTCAAAACCATTACAATTAGGAAAGAGAGGTTTTCAGAATGAGCAGGTACTTTTTGTCAAGAACCCCCAGGATACTTTCAACAAGAAATAAAAGAATCGTCTTAATACTAGGCTTTTGTCATTGCTAATAATGATGATGATATCCTTGACAAAGAAGTTACTTAGGGTACCTTCTGTAAGGCTGTGACGGTTACACACCTGGCCCAGTGTCGGATCCTTTGTTCTGGCGCCAACGGTGACGTCGCTCCTCCTGGTCGTTCCTCCTGGGTCCAAGCGTGCCGCTCCAACCCTTTGGTCAGATGATCACCAGCCCGCCTTTCCTGACCTGGCTTCCAATACCTGGTCACTAAAGCAACTATACCCGATCTCCGGTCTGTCTACCACGCTGTGTTTAGATCTTAGACAGACGGGACCAGCAGGATCAGCCGATATGTTGAGTCCGACGGGGTGGCAAAACAAAATAAAATAAAAACTCACGACACCAAACAAAATTGTTGATAAAAAGGGTAACAACCTTTTATATCTTAAAGTCCGTTACATAAAACAAAAATTGTTCTCAATTCCTGACCCGCTCTGTGGACTATGGCACCAAGCTTCTATCACACAATAGGAAAATGTCGAATTACCTACTTTCTAGAATCATGTATGTATGTCGGGTGTGGTTCAGTTCGACACTGGGGCTAATTTTCATCGATCATTCGCAGTTGATTCTTCTCTCCGACTTGAG